CGATTGAGCTTCCCCGGAATGTGGACGGCGTGCAGCGACTTGAGCCACATCTGACTCCAGAGGAGGAGATGGCGGGCGAGTTGAGACATGTGATGTGATCGTAGACCACCCTGTTGGTTGATGTAAAAAACAGCCGCAGTGTTGTCCGTGCGGACCAACACATGCTTGTCCAGCAGCAGCGGCCAGAACTGCCGCAAAGCTAGATGCACTGCCAGCAACTCCAGACAGTTGATGTGCCAAAGCAGTCGAGGTCCTGTCCAGGACTTAACGTACCTCTGTGACTCTCATCTCCCCGCTGGTCTGCCTCTGCCAGCGGCGCTGCGCCCGGAGGAAAAGACCGGTTAATAGAGCTCCACTCGGGAAACTGAGATATTCTTAAGGAAACTTAAACCTGGCTTTATATCGCGTCTGCCAACAACTCCAGACAGTTGATGTGCCAAAGCAGTCGAGGTCCTGTCCAGGACCCCGGAGCTGCCTGGCATTGCACGTAGCGCCCCAGCCCGTATTGGAGGCATCTGTTGTGACAACGACATGCCGGGACACTTGTTCTAAGGGCACTCCGGCCCATAGAAAAGCAAGGTCCGATCAGGGGCTGAATAGGCGGCGACACATCGGTGTGATGGTGATACGATGTGTACTGTGGCGCCATGCCTATCTCGGGACTCGGGAGTGTAACCAGTGCTGAAGTGGTCTCATATGAAGCAATCCGAGCGGCGTGACTGCGGATGCCATATGCCCCAGGAACCTCTGAAAATGTTTCGGTGGTACCACTGTCATGCCTCTGAAGGAACTCAGGCAGTTCAGCACCGACTGGGCACGTTCGTTGGTAAGACGTGCCATCATACTCACCGAGTCTAACTTCATACCGAGATAAGAGATTCTCTGCACAGGGGAGAGCTTGCTCTTCTCTTGGTTGACCTGAAGCCCCAATTGACTGAGGTGCCGAAGAACCAGGTGCCTGTGATCGCACAGCTCCTCTCGTGACCGGGCCATGATAAGCCAGTCGTTGAGATAGTTGAGGATCCTGATGCCCACTTCCCATAGTGGGGCAAGGGCGCCCTCTGCGACTTTCGTGAAGACACAGGGGGACAGGGAGAGCCCGAAGGGAAGGACCTTGTACTGCCATGCCTGACCCTTGAATGGAAACCATATTAACGGTCTGTGACGGGGAAGGATCGAGACATGAAAGTACGCATCCTTCAGGTCGATCGCTGCAAACCAATCCTGGGCTTGACATCTTGAACGGGATCTTGTGAAGGGCCCAATTCAAGACTCGCAGATCCAAGATAGGTCGAAGGCCACCGCTTTTCTTGGGTACGATGAAGTAAGGGCTGTAAACCCCCTTCCTCATCTAGACTGGAGGGACCGGCTTGATTGCATCCTTTGCCAACAGGACAGCAATCTCCTCGTGCAAGACAGAGGCATCTCGGACTACCACCGAAGTCACGAGAACGCCATTGAACCTGGGAGGTCGCCTGGTGAACTGAATCGCGTAGCCGAGTCGAACCGTCCAAATGAGCCAGTCTCCCACATCTCCGGGTTGCCAGTGTCAGGGCCACTTCGTCGTCTTCTTGGAGGACTTAGCGGCCGGGTGCGACACGGGGGCGACGCTCTCCTGCATGGGGCTCGACGCGCCGGCCTCGATGGTGTCTCAGCGTGGGGCGGAGCCGAGCCAGGTTGCCCGTATCAGGGCCGCTTCATCGTCTTCTTCGAGGACTTAGCGGCCGGGTGCGACACGGGGGGCGCCGCTCTCCTGCGTGGGGCTCGACGCGCCGGCCTCGACGGTGTCTCTGCGTGGGGCGGAGCCGGAGTGGAGGATGCAGCAGGGCACCCACGGCGACGAGCAGGCTGAGACACGGCCCGCAACAGAACGGTGGCAGCTGGAGGATCACATCGGAGCAAGATGTGTTGAATAGCCTCAGTCTGCTTTTGTACTGCCGAGAACTGCTGGGCAAAGTCCTCGAGAGTGTCACCAAACAGGCCGGCCTGGGAGATGGGAGCATCAAGAAAGTGTACTTTGTCAACGTCTCTCATCTCGGCCAGGTTGAGCCAGAGATGCGGGCACAGGTGCACCGCAATCGCTCTCTCCACCTGGGGAATGTCTATGTACCCCCTGGCTGCCCCGCGATAGAGGGTAGTGAGGACGGAAGAGGGAGACAAGCGGCTTCTGGCCGTAAAAGGGGCCATCCACGACTTCGTCACCTCTTCATGCACCTCCGGGAAGAAAGGAACTGGAGCAGAACGCGGTTGTGAGCTGCGCTCTGCACTGAGAAACCAATCATCCAGCCGCGAGCGCTCAGGGCTGGGCGGTGTAGTCACCTCCTGCCCGATGCTCACGGCTGCCGGGGCAAGCATGGCCGACAGCTCTGGGTCCGATTCGGCAGTGGTGACAACACCTGAGTGGGGGGCGGCCCTGCCGAACCTTCATCCTCAGAAGCCGATAGCCCATCCCCCGATGCTGTGATTGACATCTGATCCTCTGGCAGCCCACCGAATGACACTCTGGGACCGCCGTGAGACGGCCCAGCAGAACCACTCGGCAGCCGCACAGGATATGCGCTGCGTGAGGAGTGAGAGGTCCGTGGGGCATGGCCCGGCGGAGAAGTTCTCACTGTAACCCTCAAATCTCCCAAAGTACCAACCGGCGGTCCTCTGCTCGTGGCAGAGAAACCAGGGCGGGTAGTAACAGAGGGGTCTGCTCCACTCCCCTTGAGGAGAGAGAAATGCGATCGCAGCGATGCCATGGTCATACGCCCACAATAGACGCATGACTCATCCATGGACCATGAGCGCCGCTTCAGCGTGTTGGAGGCCCAGACACTGAAGACAGCGATCGTGGCCATCGACCGAGGACAGGAAACGACCGCATCCAGAAGGACACGGACGAAACGGCATCTTGAAAAAGACTCGAATCGTCCGTGATATGCTCTTTTTGAGGAAACTTGCTTTTTTAGTTGAAGATCCCAGGGGAATTGCTGCTGACAGGGACACTGCTGTAACGCGCTGTAACACCGACCAGGAACAGCCCTCCAAACACAAAGATGAATGGCTTTGTAGTGAGTATAAAACATCAACTTCTCGGCTCTGAACCAAAAATCTAATGAGTGGATGCACGCTGATGCCTTATATACCCGTGTGCACGGGGAGTGGCTCAGCATGCAAAATCTACTAGCCAATTCTCATTGGTGTTTTCTCTTAAACTCAGAGATTATTGGGCTCCCAAGATAGACCCCTAATGTCGTCACAACATAACTCGTAGTGACTGACAGATAGGGAACCCTTGCTAAATGTACTGCGTTAAGCTAACTGAGATTTGTTATAGCACTTGCATATCTTTGCACTCTTGTTGATTTTGATTGCTTTGTTGATTCTGAAGGCCTTAAGGCAGATTTCTTTGACCCTGGCAACACGATTGCTGAAATATGATTGGATAAAAGCTCTAATATAAACATACACTGCTGGAAGCAGTGCAACCAAGAGAAAAGCTATGAAAGGAAGAGAATAAAAAAATAATTGGAAATAATTTAATACACATTCATGGAAAAATATATTAAAACTAGATCAGTGATTCTGATAATGTTTAGGCCAACAGAGAAGGCTTTGCTGGCCCTGACGGCCCACCACTGATATATATATATATATATTATTGGCAGCTAAGTTTCAGTCCATAGTAGGTACGACAGAGGCTTGTTTCGCTTCCACAAGCTTTGCAAAAAGGTCCAGAAAGCTCTGCTGAAATGCAGCCTGTTGGTGTCTCGTGTCTGCAGCTTCTGCCCGTTCCTCGGCCAGTTCACCCCGCCCCCTGGATCTTTGTTCTGCAGTGAGGGGCTACTGAGTTCTCTCGCTCGGGCCACAGCCTCTCTCGACTCGTGCTCCGCCAGCATCTGTAAGAAACGATCCATTGCAGTGTTGGCTTCCTTCCGCCTGGCCTCCTCCATCTCCCTAATTTCCTTCAGTGCCAACATAACAAGTGTGTCTCCTCTTTTCCTCTTTCCTAGCATACAGACATAAATAAATCCACACATAAAATTCCAGTCTAACCCTAACCCTATAACCCTATTGCACTAATTGTACTATGTATAAGCAATTTAACAGCACAGTTTACAAATACGTCTTTCTTCACAGAGTAAAACCATGTAATTAACCACGGTTTTACTACAAATAAAACCAAAAAACCATGGTTACTATAGTTAAACCATAGTAAACACAAATTAACCATTGTTTTGCTACAATTTCCCATAGTTTAACCATGGTATTTGTAGTAAAACTGTGGTTATACAAATTGTAATCAATACGCCAAAAAAACCATGGTTACTACACTTTTACTATAATAAAACTATGGTTAATTTTAGTAAGGGTTTGCTTTGTACCAATGCTTAACTGGTTCATAACTAAATTTGATATATTTATCATATTTCTAGCTTTATTTAATAGTTACTTGCCTTTTACAGATGTGTTAGTGTCACTGGCCTCCAAACGGATGCCTGCCGAATCTTTGCTTTCCACAGTTCTAGTGTATGCTGGTTTGTGGCCAAGGATTGCATCCATGGATGCATACCATTTTTCTGTCCGTTGATCAGAACCATTTAGGTTGTTGTGCTCTTTAAAGGGGTCATTGGATGCTACATGCACTTTTACAAGTAGTTTGAACTGAAATGTGTGTTGGCAGTGTGTGTACACAACTACCCTATAATGATAAACCATTCTCTTCTCAAATACTTTTCTTGGAGAACCTCTAATGTGCTTTTTAAAAATTTTTTTTACAACTACTACATTACTTAATAAACTGCATTGTATGTGATTTATGATTTAATTTAATAACCAAAAAAATAAGCATCATTTGTATTTAATAGATTAATTTATCTTGAGCATTTATTCTTTGAAGCTTCATCTTTCTTGAATATATGCTCATTTCCTCTTTATCAAATTGTTGTTCCTCTTATGTTTAGATGCTTCCACCCCTTTTCACATCTGTGAACCATTTCTAGTACTCACTTTAACATATGGGTTGACTCATTCATCTTTTATATCTACATTTGACTGGTTATGATGGACCAGAACTTTTGCATCATATTATGCATCTTTTGTGGTAAGTTTGCTCTTTTTGTGCCTTCTTGTGTTGCAAGTCTTAAGCCTTTTTGTACCTTCTTGTAAGATTGCAATCAGTGGTAATAAGATGAACTTTGAATGCACTGCAATATTCATGTATATTGTATAGATATGTATAGATATGTATAGATAGATGAATGTATAGATAGATGAATGATTCAGTGTGTCGTTGTAGGAATAAAATAAAAATTTCTTACAGTTTTAGTTTGACTGTAGAGTTACAGTTACTCAACATTCATTGTTAATCATAATATCTCATTTTAAATAACCTCACAAGTTAAAAACCTTGACCATCTTTTTAAAGTAATAGCATGGTCAGTCCTATGATATGGATGAAGATGAAAAATGTCCTTTTAAGGCAAGAACATCATCGATTAAGTGTGAACTTCCTTTTATACTGAAAATGCCTCTGTCTAAATTTGTCTCATATGAGATTTCTGCTTTCCCTCATGCACACAAATATGCATCTCTGAGAAATGAACTGCAAAAAATAACTAATAGATGCACTTGACAGCTTTTCATATTTTAATCTATATATTAGAATGAAAAACAATTACACTTAAGAGGAAACCAAACAATCTAAAGATTTTGTTAGGCACAGTGTGCAGCAGAGTGCTTGTAACTTTTTCAGCTGTTACTATTTTCACAATCTAGCATGGCTACAAGTTCTTCAGTATTTATTATTATTATTATTATTTTGGTTACAAGACATTTTTAATGTTACTTTATATTGTAATTGCTTCCATTGGTGCATCATGGTGATATGCTGAGCAGGTGTTTGACGTCTGTTAGCCTATTACAGCATGTATTTTAGCATGACTGGATTGACCAATAAGCAAGTAGGAATGGAAAAATGCATTTTATACATTTTAATTATGTCAAAAATGCAGTCTCTAGTTATTACTGCGTTTTTTTTTTCTGTACACTTTAGTATCTCAGTCGGTGATGGCTTTTAACATTGATCCTTCTACATGGAAAACGTTCACTGCACCACAGAATGCATCCTTTGGCTATAAGATTATACAGAAAGACGCGTCAAGGTGAGAGCAACACAACCACTGATAATGTTTGGAAAGCACACCATTGTCAGTACTCAACACACTGCCATCAGCTGCCCAATGAGACAGGAAGAGGCTGTCAATCCAACATAGTTCAACCACCACAGTTAGTTTTGTGTGTTTACATGCCCTTTAATGGTAAATCTGAAATAGATGCTACAACTAGATAATAGCTTTTGTGCGCCATTGTACATAATGAAGAATTATACTGGTTATCAAAATGTTTATTTAAACTTTGTGTGACTTCTGAATCGTCATTGTCGAATTGTGTCTTTGACTGCAGCACCCCCTGTTGACAAATATTGAATTTACTGACAAATATTGAAATTGAATTTACAGCATTGAGCTTACCCAATATGCAAACCTTGAAATGAATGATTTATATATGAATGACATGTAAAATGCTTCTCTTCACAAAATGACAGCTTCTTAGACAAAGTTGCATTCATATGTGATATGATTTGAAAGCATAACAGCTAAACCTTTAACAAAACATCAGTCAATCAAGCATTTTTTACTATTATGACAGAACTGGGCTGGTAGTGATGCTTGACATATTTGGTCATACGGGGTTTCAATAATAAAAAAAAAACCTTAACAATAGTACGCGCAAAAGTTTGATATGCTGCTAGGCTCATGAATATTAAGTCATCTGATTGGCTGAAATTAACAACGCGGACAGACATTAGCTCCGCCCACTACCGAAAGACCCAACCGCCCGTGGCTTCTATTTTTCAGGATGAATAATTTTGAGCGAACTCAGTCATTTTTGACAGGGGGAAAAATAATATAATTTAACATTAAGCAGTCTTTCGATTTGACGGTGCGTCAAATATGCTGCGCATCCATTGATAGTGAAACACTCAAACGATTGTTCAAGTATAGGCGAGTAAGAATATATCCCCTGCTTCCACAGACAAGGCTTAAGCCTAGTCCCAGACTAAAATGCATGTCTGGGCTGTTTTACCTGAAAGAAACCATTGTTTTGTCTCAAGATGTACACAAGTAATGTTATTTTCTAAGGCACGTTTATAAAAGACAGGCCTAATCCTGGTTTATCCCAAGCCCTGTCTGTGAAACCAGGCCTAAACATCTTACTTAATCACCCATGAGTGGAATCTAAACAATTTATTAGCTAGTGACAAATGTAATTGTCTAGTGCGAAATTTAGACGCACGTTTGAGTAATTTACTCGCAATGTAGAGGGTTGCGCAGGCACAGTGATGTTCAAAATTACAAGAGACCATACTACTTCTGCTGTATTTATGCTGTGTGCAGTAGGTTTGCACATTGAATTATACCACAACGGTGTTGTATGGCTTGTAGCTGTTTATTTTAACTCTTATCTTTTACTCACACAGGTTAAATCTATTAAATCTATTAAATTATATATCAATTTAGTGGATTCTAACACTCATTCTTACCTCTTTTCTTATAGTCTGATTGTGAGTGATCCTTTAATTCAAACCAGAGATAAAAGCGGACAGATTTATAACTGTGCGGTCACAGAAGGAACCTGCTCATCACTGAACATTGATGGTATTTGGGGTTTAGTACTTATTGAAATATGATTTGCCAATTTCCACAAACAGGGGCCATAGCCCCTGGTTTTCAACAAAAGAAGGGAGTGTACCTCAGTAACACAATCAAAGCAAGCCTTTCAAATGTTTTGTTGTTGTTGTTAATGAAAATGAACAAACTGTCTGTATGTTAATGAAGTTCCTCCAGAAGTTGTCAACATGTCTCTTGGACTTTCCATGGTTCAAGATCCACAATCTTCAAAGGTGGTGGTAAGTTATCCAGCACACTAGAGAGATCAGTTACAAATGAAGTATATATTACAACTGTTTCACACGTGCAAATGTCTAAAGAACATAAAAAAATCAAATGAAATGCTCTGTAAATTTACTCTGAATGTATAAAAGGGTTTATAAATGTTAAAAGACATAATATGAGAAAACTATTTCAACATTAAAGAAAAATAACCTCATTTTGTGTTTGTAATATAAAATTAATACATTTTATTTGACATAATTTATTTGATTTATTTTACTGAGACATGCATGTATGTGTAATATAAAATTAGTACATTTTATTTTTTATAATATATTTGATTTATTTAATTGAGTCACGCATGTTTATTTTATTATCTTGTCTCAACAACTAAACAGATTTTGACCAGAGCAATAAAAGTGGTTGGTGTTGTGGCCTATAATACCATTTGATTTAGTATTCCTTTAAATTAATGTTTAAATTCCATCTCACCCAGGTTTGTGGTCCAACCATTCCAAAGAAATGTGTAGCAGCTACCAACTACAGAGGCATGTGCTTTATCCAAGAAAACAATGAGTTTAAACCACTAATTCCGAGCCCTAAATATCGAGGTAAATATGATGATCACTAAATAGATTTTTTTTTTAAATGAAGTTAACTACTTTCTTCTCATTTGTAACTTTACTGCAGTTTTAACTACATGTACGCACTTATGCTTCACTTCCAGACTGTCTTGGTCAGATTGACATAGCTTTTCTATTAGATGGATCTGGGAGTGTAGGAACTTCTAATTTTGGGATCATGAAGACTTTTGTGACAAATGTGATCAAACGTTTTACTGAGCGGGATGGACAGGTAGGAATAGCCTTAATTTTTTTTTTCAGTACTTTAAAAAAGTAAAAAAAAAAAGTGAAACACATGGAAATATGTAAATATATTTTATCAGAAAAATGTGGTTTTAAAGAGCACATAATGAGACGTTGTCAACTTTAACTGTTGGTTTACAGTTTGCTATTGCTCAGTACTCCAGAGGTTGTACTATTCACTACAATTTCATTCAACTCAAAATTGAAGACCCCACATGGGAGTCTAAGGTAACAGGTATACAGTACTTCAGCGGTGGCACTCACACTGCAGCAGCCATCCAAAAACTTGTGTAAGACTTGTTTGTTAATATAATAATTTAAATACATTTTATTAAGTGTGGCCCATTTCATGTATATTATGCTCATATAAGTTTATATGTGTAGTTTAAAAGTTAAATGTTAAGGATTATGAGCTAAATAAAATTGATACACTGAATTGAAGTCAACAGTGGAGACACAATTATCTTTAAAAACTAGAGGTTTACATTTTATGGGGAAAAAAGTAAACCATTTTTCTCTTAAAACTATTTTCAAATACTAGAAATGAGCTATTTACATCAGCTGGAGGGGCAAGACCATTAGCCAAAAAAATCTTGCTTGTTATTACTGATGGAGAGTCACAAGACAGGAGCTTATTGACAGATGCAGTATCACAGGCAGAGGCAAAGAACATAGTACGATTCGCAATCGGGGTAGGTTTTTCTTTACATGTCATTCAAATCTCAATGAAATAGGCTCTGTATCATTATTTCTCTTTAAGGAAACAATATGTTTTGTTTCTAGGTTGGCAATGCTTTTAATAATTTCAGAGCAAAAGAGGAGTTAAATACAATTGCTTCTGATCCAGATATTGATCATGTGTTTAAAGTGACAGACTTTAATGCACTAAATAATATTCTTCAAAAACTGGAAGAGAACATTATTGGCATTGAAGGTATGTTGGCACCTCAGAAGACAATACACTTAAGAATAAAATTGCTTGTGTACATATATTTTTAGAATAACTGAACAGATTTTCTGTAAAAGCTTTAAAGGTGTTAGGGTCTTTTCTTTAGGGTCTTCATGAAATGTCTGCAGCATACTTTGGTTAAACAACAGCCTTTTTACCTGGTCAAAAACAGCTCTGTTCACAGTGACCCGTATCGGTGCATGTCTCTTTAAATGCTAATGAGCTCTGCTCACCCCGCCCCTCTCTTCTGTGGAAGAGGAAAGCCGATTTGTAAATAGATTTGCAAATAATCATAAAAAATATAAAGTGTGAGACTTACTTCTTCTGGAGGTGCAGCTGGATCACAAATATTGGGTACTGATCCATCCTTGAGTTTTAACTTTTTAGCAAATCCTGCCTTGAATTGTCCCTCCTTCAGAAAGTAGTCTGGAGTAAAATGATTTGTGCAGACATAAATGAATTTAGGTGTATTCGGTGGTGCATTACCATCAAAAACAAAACAAATCCACTGCATCCTCAGTGGCTCTGATGTCAGGAGAATATGAAGACTCTTATGTTCACTTTTACATCCAACTACAAAACACTTGCATTGCTTACGAGTCATTGTTGAGAACAGCCAGGCATAAGAACAGTTTCTTTCCTCAAGCAATCCATCACATGAACAGCTAACTTGGCAATAAACATGTAATACACAACACTATTTATACATTTATTTATTTAACACACATACCTCTTTTTACATTTCCTTGCATTTTTACATAATACACCTGGCCCGATTCAAGGCTTGTCGCAAACAATTTTTTGTCCCAACAATCCTCTATTGTGTGGTGTCATTACGATTATGTAACTGCTCCCGTTCAAGACGGAGCATCCCCGATCTTAAATCGTAAATATCAAACATATTTGATATTTACATCTCTTGATCGGGCTGCCCCTGACGTGATACGTCAATGAGAGTGAGCAAGCGTCACCTACTGGAGGTTGCGCATAGGCGGAGGGTGAACCTCAAAAAAACAAAACTATCGTTATAATCACTGAAGCTGTATACACTGTTAAATTAATCTTTTACTCACATTGTACGTACATCTGCGCTTTGTTGTTTATAATTTGTTTGTGCAGGGGCATTTTTGTCCAATTTAGTGGCATTTTCGCCCCAAGTCCCCGTGGCCAACCTTACACACGCTCCGCCTATTGCATGCTTCTATAGCTGAAACTTGGCAGACACAAACATGCCACGGATGTAGAGTACTGAGAAAGAACATCACCCATATTCTTTTTTTCTATTTTGCTTTTCACTGCACAACAGAACGCACGCCAAGAGAGACAGCTGACAATGTTAATTGTCCTCCATGTGTTTTTCTTCTCTAGTCACTTTTGATCTCGCAAGTCATTCCTACAATCAACAAGTGTGTGGTATCACGGTCTAGATTATAAGGCTAAAAATCGGTCTTATAAGGATTATAAGGCTAAAAAACTGTCTTCATGTCTGTGGTCTCCCATGGTTTTAAAATCTGTTAAGATTTGAAAATCGTCTAGGGTGTCCCAGGCCATATGCTAATATGGGACAGTCTGTCAGCAGTCGTGGGCGGGTCCTGAGCAATGTGACGTCATATTGCTGTTTATGTTTTTTGGGGTTTAAAAATAAAGTTGTGAATGGATTTTTATCATTGTAGGCTGGTTGTGTCCACACACTGCTAAGACACATTATATGCAAACACCATGTAAAAGTGAATTTTGCATCCGATGTCCCCTTTAAAGCAATGTGGTTTTGTGTATTTTTGCGACTTTAGAGCCCCCTACAGTTAAGTGAGTGGAATTCACTTAAGTGAGTCTTAATTACAGTGGATACTGTACACTGTAAAATTCAATAGTTTACCTTACTTAGATTTAATTAGTTGTCTTTACTTAGTTGTTATACTTACTAGGTTTTATTAAGTTACAGCTACTTTCAAGGCAAATAAAACAATTTACTTACTGTTTTGAGTGACACTTACTTAAAATATTCAAGTAGCCACAAAGGAACCAATGATATTAATACACCAGTGAGAGGCAGTGCACTAATATGTTGCTAATGTGCAACATAACAACAGAAGAAGAAGAAAAGTAAAAGAGTCTTAATAGACTTTTCATTAGGGATGGCCGATACCCCTTATTTTGTTTTTGATACGATACCGATATTTTTCAATGCAGTATCGTCGATATCGATACCGATTCGATACTTCTGAACTAAACTTTTAAATTATGA